ACCTTTTTTTGTTTCCTCGAATGAAAAGAGACATGAAAGGAAAGCGTTTTGCTGATGTTGCTGAGGTGAAGGAAAAAACGACGGAGGCGCTGTCAAGCATCTCAAAAGATGAATTTAGACAATGTTTTGAAAAATGGAATAAAAGACTAGACAAGTGTATTAGTGTAAGTGGAGAGTACTTTGAAGGGGATTGAAGGTTAATGCTTAAAATTTGAATAAATAAGTTAAAAAAAAAAATAAGTTTGGTTTCTTTTGGGTACCCCCTCGTAAGTTATTTTTATATATATCATTTCATTAATATTAATATTGTTGCGTGTTTGCTAGGCAATGTGAGAAGAAATTGGGTGGGTTCTCGGATTTGATGGAATATTTATTTGACAGTCACTTTTAAACTCACAATTACAATTATTCTCAACTTATAACATCCTTTAGACATTTCTTCTTCAATATTACAACACTCTCGCACGGCTATTTTTGGTGGAGCATCTTCTGCTCTAATTGGATGAGAACTCTTTTGTTCTTTTGCTGAATACCAACTCTTTCCTGCTAATGTTGAATACAAACTCTTATGGTCTCTGGCCGACGTTGGACTCTCATAACGTGCACTTGGACTCAATAGGGAATACCTTGTTGAAGGGTTAATTCTGTCCACTGTTACACAATGAACACGGGAATACGTGTCTGCCTCAAAAATTCATGTATAATGGTGGAAACTCTACTGTTAGATTGCTAGCCGTTGTATAGCAATGGATGCATTCCGATTCTTAGCTGTTGTAGCGGAAACACTGGTTGTTGCCTAGGAAATCAACCATGATATCCTAATCCATTTCTGCTTTCTCGCGGCAGGCCACAATATTTTTAACAACTGAAAATTTTGCACAGACATTTAATCAACAACATGTATCTTTATATTATGGAATAACAAGTTTAAAATTATACTGATGTAGTTAGTGTCATGATTATTTGCACTTACAACCCATACATAACAGAAGGCACTTATTTCAAAATGTACAATAATTAGCTTTACACATTTTTGGTAACTATATTTGTAATCTTGTTGCATGATAAGTTTATGCTCTTAATTCAATAACCTACTCTGTTCTAATTTCATATGCATTGTTCTTTTATTTTATTCTTGATCTATTTAACAGTGCTCTCACTTGTTAAAAGACTGTATAGTACAGATATATGCATTGTTACTGCATAATTCTGACCAATTGTGCAAGAAACACTTAAATACAGTCAACTCTCGATTATCTGGGGGCGGATTAACCGGTTTGCGGCTTAACTGGGGCTACTGAGGCTTTTTTTGAGGCTTATATGTTAATATTCATTCACTTTTGTTTCACATGGTGAGTTGTAACACTATTTTCGCACTAGTGTGAACCGAGCTCTGCATTCTTTGGTCCCATTATGCTAACACAATGTTCTAGGGTAGGGGTGAAAGAATGCAAGGATTTGTGGACAGTTTCAAGGACAGATACACTGCCCCAGTTGGTCTCTTTGTATTGATCTTCAAGTGCGTTAGCAAAATGTCAGGGTGTAAAAGGAAGTGTGCTGTGTTAAGTATTCAACAGAAACTCATGTGAGCCGGGCTTTGAAATGTTAAGCAATGACGAAACCATAATTTCAGTAGGGGTGCAGCCAGAAGAGCAGGAAGAAAGTGAGAATGAGGAAGAGGTGGACAGTGCTGCTAGTAAGAAAATGTCACATGGTGCTGCTCTTAATCATTTGGAATCCTTACTAGACTATCTTGAGAGTGAAGAGAACAGTTTATTAAGTGACAAGCTAATATTACGTAGGCTTCGTACGGATATCTGGATAGGTAGGCCTATAGTATTATGAAGGTACAGTATTACATTAGTAATTACAGTATTAGTGAAAAGCATCACTACAGCAATACACATTTCTGAAACAAAGCAGACTGTAATTGCTGATCTTTAAACTCTGTTTCCAAACAAATATTCCAATGCTAGCAATGATTTCTTGTACAAAGTCACAGAATTGTAAGTACTGTACCAATAATAATCATGAGCCCGATTACATATTCTAACTGTATGGATCATGAGCCCACTGTTTATAGCTTTGTCATAAGGAAACAAAACTTACGCGGAACACATGCAGCAAAATCACTGTCACTTTCCTTCATGCACCATAATCCTGGCCCGCATACAGCTTCATGGACTGGCAGTCCCTGTCCATTGAGAACGCAATCATCACCTTCTTCTGTGGATGTTAAGCACATAAGGTTTATCGTTATTTAATGTTCAAAACTTTCATTGAAATAATATGAAAGACTTCAAGCAAGGAGGCTTACTTACGAATTCTGTAAAAGCACAACACAGGTTATGAAAAGCCATAACTCACAACAGAATCCAAGTATGTTTTATGTCCTTTGCTCCTTCCATCCCAACTGGAGCCCTGTCCAAACTACCGTCCTCTAGTATCTCAATGAATTGAGCACAACAGAGGATGTAGCATCAGCCACAGTCCGGTCAGGTGAGACAAAGATGAAATGGAAGGTAATTTCTCCATTTGTAGGATTTGAGGTTCTCACAGCAGTAGTTATAGAGAGTTCTATCTTCTGGGAGATAATGCCATGTGGTCCATTGAAAGTCAACTGACATTTTGGAGGAAAATGTTATCACCATTTTCAGGGCCGAGGAATAAGCCAAGGAAGAAACTAGGGTGAAAACAGGTGGAAAGCAGAACAAAGTGGTTTCTTGCTTGGTTTATTCATCGACCTTGAAGATGGAGGCAAAGTGTTCCTCTGAAATGTTGGTTGACTTTCAACAAACTACACAGTGTTATATCCCAGAAGTCAGAACTATTCAAGGTCTCCATACATATTCATTTCAGATGTTACAAAAGATAATGGAATGGTTGCCGAGAACAGGGGCCACCTCATAGTCCAAAAGTACACATACACGTAAGGTATACCTGGCCATGTGTTGTCTGTTCTAGGGTGAAGTTTGGTCCAGAAGTTGAATGTAGCAGTGGAGTCAGGTGTCACAGTCAACAAATGAAAGAACTGAACTCATTGTCAAGAATATCCAAGTAGACCAGCAAAGTAACAAGGCATGCCCCACACCACACACAAATATAATATTCCTCATTGATAATGGCTAAGGTAGTTAAAAATAAGAAATGGGATGTTTTGTGTACAATTTTAGATATCTCAGAGGGAGCAGGAGATGAAGCAGATCACATACACGTACATTCCACTGAACTTCATTTCAGGTACTGTTTATTGAATAAAGTTCACATGGAATTTTATTTTCTCATCACCCAGCATTATCTGGAGGAAAAGTGGCTGGGGCATGAAGCTGATCATTCACAGTTATCTTGTGTTAAGATTAAGAATCCTAATAGCACAGGGGACATCTTAACCTGTAGTATAAATTGCTAAAGAAACACACTTTTTCCACAGTTAGTTCTAATACATGTTTAAACAGATATAAGTAAAAAAAAAAAAGTAAAGCTATCCCTGTACCAGGCCGTGAAGGCCCATAGGGTTGTGAGATGTTGAGGGTCCCACACTATCTAGACAATCCGCTCAAAGATGGTGGTAAGGTTGTCAGCCTTATGTGCCGGCCATGCTTTACTCCCCAGGAAAATTATTTAATTAATTCCTGGTGCTCATTTCTGTTAGAGACTGAGTAAACCCCAGGGCCTAGTGTGGCTGGAAGGATTAGGTCAACTGAAAAAAATCCAATGACCTCATCAGGACTTGAACCCGCGACCTTCCAGCTTGTACCATAGCCCCTCAACCACTACGCTACCGCATGCCCCACAGTCAAAGAAGTAGTCTTGAAAATATTCCTTTTAAATCATCTGTACCAACTTAAGACGGCGTTTAAATTTCTCATTCCTTGTTTTCTGTATGCAGTTAACATCTTCATAATGGAACTGTGGGGATGTCTTCGATGTGTAGTCTTTGTCATTACTCCTATGACAACCCACTTCTTCGGAACAGTCTGTTGGCCCTGAAAAGGACCGTGGCTGCTGAGATGCTAGATCGGAGAGGTAGCGCGGCGCGCGCCATAAGGAGAAAGGCTAGTTACGGGAATGGCTGGTGAAAGGCTAGTCGTTGAGCGCGGTTGTAGGAGCCATGAGGCAGTGGCTACGCCAGATGCCCAGTGGGTCGGACCGTAACATGACCACCGGCGAGTCCATGCGCGGTGCCCCAGTGAGTCGGGTGTGAGAGCGCTGGAGGGCCGAGGCAGTCGTGCCTGGCGCAGCCTGCCGATGTCTCCGAAGACCGAGCGCTGGCGACGAAGCCTGCTGGCTGAAGTTGCTTGCTGTGTGGCTTGATCGTAGACTGCAGTCGGACTGAATAATTCGGCGTTGGAGTCGCTCCTTTTTATACACTGGTCGGTGGGGCGAAGCCAAACTCGAAAGTGAGGAGGAAGAATTGATTGGCTAGCACGCGTAATGACGTAGATGCGGGCTAGGAGCGATCCTAGTATAAATATGAACGTTTGAAGCAATCTGGTTGGTTAGCGCGCGTGATGGTGAAAAGTGATGTGAAGAGCGAGCGTTGCAGAAATGCGTGATGTTCCCACAGAACTATCTTTCAAACATACGAAAGCCAAAATGGATAAGACATTTTTTCACAATGCAATATAAGTAATACATATATTAATTATTTATTACATGTATATAAACCTATTTCTCTGTTCATTCATGATGAAAGAAAAATGAAAGATGATAAAAATGAACTATTTTTTAATTTATTCATTAATATTCTTTCCTTCTTTAGAGGAGCAATCTGATTTCAGAAGATTTAAAAACAAAAGGAATACTTTTCAAAGCCTATGAACGTTACAATGAACTAGGAAAGAGACAAATTTAAAATGTTTTAAGGTTATGGTAGTCCCAGTGCTTTCATATAGAAGTAAAATATGGATTCTGAGGAAGACAGACTGGAATAGAATTGAAATACCTAAGAACTGTCAAAAGTTGCACTAGGAGAGATCAATTAATAAATCAGGATAGAGGAAATGGGTTGGGTGTCTTATCTCCATATGAATATGAATATGATAGAAACAAATGGCAAATACATCTGTAAAGGATCAGTTGGTTCTACCACTATGTTCAGTACACATACCAGCAAACGAGTGATGTATACTGGCAAACTTGTCAAAAGTCTCACATCTGCTGGTACACTGCATGTTTCAACCTTGATGCTAGAACCAAGCATAACAGTACCAGCAAAGAAATTCTTGAAAGAAAACACTGTATTAAATAACACATGGGACAGTATTTTAAACATTTTGAGTGCTACGTGATGGTAAGAAAAATTACAATGGCATGAGTAGATGTGACTTCATTTGTGAAGAAATGTCTGGCAAGCAAACTTTTTTTAGACTCTTAGTCTGAATCAACATTTGTAGATTCCTCTATATATCTCTCCTAAAGGGGATGCACATGGATTGTTTACTGCCCATCCCACTTTAATCTGGACTATCCATTATATAATAACTATTAATGACAAGACAATGACAAGATTGCAGACACACGGGTGGAGAAGGACTGTGACTCTCAACACNGAAACTCTTAACACTTGTATGTATATATTGGATTGATTAAACGGAATTTACAGAACACAGGATATATATAGTGTTCAAGCGTTAGCTGGCCCCCAAGGGGCAGTTCGTGCCACTACAATTTCACTCCTTTGTAGCGGGCGGAGCCTACGGCCGTTTAGCTGGCTGGTCTGGACAGTGATGCAGTGCTGCACGCGCCGGTAGGATCGGCTAGCTCGGCCGGTTGCTGGGATCACGGAAGATGCGTATGCTGGAGACTTGCTGCTGCTGCTTCGGTTGCCTGGTCGCTGGAGGCCTGCGGCAACTAGAGCCGAAGTGAGGAGCTGATGTCTCGGACGACCGATGGCAGTGTAGAGTTGATGGCTGAGCATGCTGAGCCGGATGTGTACACTGCTCTTTTGAGTTTTGGGCTCAGCCTTTTATACCATGCTCGGTGGGCGGAGCAAAACTTGCATTTGAGGAACAGAGCGCTGATTGGCTAGTGAAAATGAGGAGCAGAAATTTGCAGTACGTGCTTGTATAAATATGAATGAAACGTCCAGCAATGCGATATTCACTAAGGAGTGAATGTTGTCTAAAAGAGTGGTGGAAACAGCGTGCTATGTGGGATGTCCCCACAATCTTCTCCTAAAGGATCTTGACCTGAAGGAAACTTCACTCAGATAAGTGTGTAACTAGTGAACAAACAGACAACAAATGTTCTGCATGGTCAGATGTTGTTAAAGGTGTAAGGAAATCTGATACATGTGTGAACTGAAGAAGCATAAGGCATGGTTTGATGAAGGATGCTCAAAATTATT